TAACTTTTACAGCAAGATACTAGAGAATTGACTCCACGAAGTCTGAATTCTTCATAACAATCTTTTGTCTGTTCTTAAACAATCTTAATCTTTTTCCTTGACTTTTCATAACACCTTACATCACAAAACACACCTCTGTTTTGGTCTATCGACCAATCAGAAACTCCCAAATGAACCAGAAATAGAGCCCTTTAAATGTTGGCACTTCCTAGTTCACGGGAGTGCTGCAAGAGGTTCCACTTCCTAGTTAACAGCAATTCCAGAGTTCATGAAGGCTGGAATTCAGGATGCTGGAGGAAGAAAAATCAAGCTGAACGAGAGAAGATCTGGGAATTATGAAATGTCTGTTCTGGATGATCTCACGACTCCCGAGGTTTAGCTGTTCTTACGGAGACGCTGAAAGAGTTGAAAGGAGAGCTCTACACCAACGCTGAAACTATCATCTGCAAAGGTAAAAGAGTCGATCTCAACCAAAGCGTACCGTTGGGCCAAGCTGGAAAAGAAGGAGCGTGCTGGTTCTGGTTAGGACAGACAAATTCCCTCACACATCTCTCTCAACTTAAACTTCATTTCCCATCTTTAAAATTCTTCTATCTGCTAAAAATCATTACAGATATTTTTAGAAATGTCTGAAGCAAAGTTTTTCGATCACCTCCGTGTGGTTAATGTCTGCTGTTCTGCTGGAAGTGAGAAAACAATCGCCGTATTGTTTACTTCCTGTAAAAACTGATTAATAAGCTGTCGTTATTTTCAATTTTTGCCAATTAATGTAAATGTGTGATGTGTTAAACTTGATTCTGTTAATAAATGACCCACTGTCGTTGGTGAGTCAAAGATAATTAACGTCTCACGTCCACATTTTATTAAATTCAGATGCACGTCATTATACAGTCCAGAAAAATGAAAGAATCCGTTTTATCTATGAATATATGACAGCATATGTTCATACTACAATGATGATGATGGTGCTCCTGCTGACTTGAGATGATGTCATTAATAAACAGTATAAATAGTAGTAAAAGTACTTTATTAAAGCTTGCTTTACATTTTACATATTTTATAATAAATTGTTTAGAAATTTGTTTTTGCACAGTTAACACTTATTTTGTCATCTGTTATGATTTTAACTAGAAACAGTTTCATTTAAATGAACATTTTAATCAATGAATTACAGTTTTACAATAGTTGTCAGGCTACAATCAACTCAGTTATCAGGTACTTGGTGCCATAAAAAACGACAAATACAACAATTATATTCAGTCTCTCTTGTAAATGAGTCCTCGTGGCTCAATGGGACGAACCTGTTTAAATAAAGGTTGAATTAATATCTTCTATAGAAATCAAGAATTCATCCAGATGATCTGAGGTAAGCTGGAGCAGATCTGAACTGCATGGAGGACAAGGTGGAGCATTATCCTGCAGAGAACATCAGAACCAGCTTTATAACAGGTGTTGATGGTGTAGAGGCAGGGCAGCCGGCTTGGGACCCAAAAGTCCCAGGTTCGATCCCCAGTCACTGCACATCACGTGGTGTCTTTGGGCAGCACACCTCATCCCCAAAATGTCCCCTGGGCGCTTTCAATAGCTGCCCACTGCCCCACCTGGTGGTGGATGGGTTAAATGCAGAGACTAATTTCGCCATTGTATGGAAACATACAGTGCTGACATTGTGATGACATTATTATTATTATTACTCTGATCTTTTATTAACATTATAAAACACTGACATGACTATATTGATCACTGTATTGCATAGACTTTTTTTTCTAACAAATATGTGTTTGCAGTCTCTTTCCTTCTAAAATGTAATGATAAATGTATCAGCCGCTTCTAAAAACACTTGGATAAAATGCATAGTCTGTGAAATAATCAATAATTTTGTTCGTTACTGCTCAATAATTACTGAAAGACGTCAGGTAAAGTAAGAAAAGATGATTTTAGTGTTATGTTGCTCCAGCAGCCTCAGACTGACTGACAGGATGAACTGTTTGGAACTATTGGAGCTGCATGAACCACGTGACCGCGTATCGGCGAGTTCAAAGAGTGTCGCAGCTCTCTCTGGACCTGTGTGAGCCGCATCACCGCCTCCTCCTCCGCCTCCTCCTCCGCCTCCTCCGTGGCGGAAGACTCTTCTCTAAAAACAAAGCAGCCCAAGTTTCGAATGGTGGAGTTGAGTTGTGAAACCTTTCAGGCTCAGAGTCAGAGAAGCTGAGAATTGGATTATTTAAAACCCCACGGACACAAAACTGCCTGGACTTCAGACTATCGTTGGCAGCTGCCATTTATTTAAAAGTAAAACAGCCACAGAAGAAAGTGTTCAGATATAGAAGTCCTGGAGCCCGCTGTCACTGTAAGTAAATATTGATGTGGTTTTTATCTGCTGGTCCTTCTTTTGGAGGCCTAAGACTCTAGCATTATTGTAAGAGCCTCTTTTCAAGCTGTAACGTAATTTTCGAGTATTTTTTTATTATTTGTAACCATCTATCTGATTAAAAACGTAGTTCGCGATCAGTCAGGTGTCTGACGGTCCACACAGAGCTCATTTCTTTACTCTTGTTCGACCAACTGGCAGTTTTTACTCGGTACCATTTTGTGCCATGGTGAGTCTACGCTTTAGCAGCAGCTAGCTGGTTAGCATGCTACGTTCCTGTTCACAGCCTTAATGGAAGTTGGCAGGCAACTGTCAACATTAACGGAGTGCATTGCGACTTGTCCTTTTTGTATTCCACCTTAGAGTGTCGTGCTGAAGCAAGTGTCTTTAGGGCCGTGATTAGACCTTGAATGCAGATTATGTAATCGCAGTTCTTGTCTGGAGCTCGTCCTTCTACTGTGGTCTCTCAGGAACATACTGGACCAGCTAGCAGCAGTGTTGCCACATGTAGGATTATCGTACTGGACACATAAAGTTATCGTATTTTGAGGGGAATTATCGTACACACGTCATAACCAAAATAAGAAGTCGATTAATTACCATACCATTTTATTTATAGAACTCTTAAAACAGCTACAAGGCCAACCAAAGTGCTGTACAGACAGAACAACAGGTAACACACAAAGAAATATACAAAATGAGGTAAATCAGAATATAGACATAAAAACGATGCAGATAATAAATATGATGACAAACCAGTGTGGAGCATGCAGGATCAAACACAGATCATCTGGTGTTGAAAGCTACTGAATAGTACTGAGTTTTTAAACGGGACTTGAAAACCGAGAGGGAGGGGGCCAGTCTGATAAGCAGAGGTAACTCGTTCCAAAGTCTTGGTCCAGCTACAGAGAAGGCCCTGTCACCTCTGCGCTTAAGACGAGTTCCTGGAACTGTGAGGAGCAACTGGTCCGCTGACCTCAGGGAACGTGGTGGGACATACGGTTGTAGCAGATCAGAGAGAGGGGGGGGCGACACTGTTCAGTGATTTGTAGACATACAGGAGAATTTTGAACTGGATTCGAAAGTGAACCGGTAACCAGTGCAGTGAAGCCAAAACTGGTGTAATGTGTTCTCTTTTGCCTGTACTGGTTAAAAATGGGGCTGCTGCATTCTGCACCAGTTGTAGTCGTGCAATGGAGGTCTGACTGATACCAAACAGGAGTGAATTGCAGTAATCAAGCCTAGATGTAATGAATGCATGTATTACTGTCTCCAGGTTCTTTTTGGACAATATGGACTTCAGTTTAGACAGCCGCCTCAGTTGGAAGAAGCATGATTTAACATTCAGGTTTACATGATTGTTAAGCTTCAGGGAAGGGTCCATTATCACGCCCAGATGATAAGATGGTAAGAGGATCACCAATTCCACCATTGTTGCGCAGAAAGATAGTGCAACAATACCAGAATGGTGTTACCCAGCGTAAAATAGCAAAGACTTTTAAGTTATCATCATCAACCGTGCATAACATCATCAAAAGATTCAGAGAATCTGGAACAATCGCTGTGCGTAAGGGTCAAGGCCGTAAAACTCTACTGGATGCTCGTGATCTCCGGGCCCTTAAACGTCACTGCACCTCAAACAGGAATGCCACTGTCAAGGAAATAACAAAATGGGCTCAGGAATACTTCCAGAAAGCATTGTCAGTGAACACAATCCACCGTGCCATCTGCCGTTTCCAGCTGAAACTCTACAGTGCAAAGAGGAAGCCATTTATGTTATATTACAAATAAAATATTGACATTGGCTATCTCCACATCATTGCATTCAGTTTTTATTCACAATTTGTTTAGTGTCCCAACTTTTTTGGAATCCGGTTTGTACTTTACACAACAATCTGTGCCTCATTTACCCATTCATACAGCTCTATACTAGATCTCTACAAAGATAATTGAACAAATCATTGTAAAGAGACTAATCAGAGCTTTAGATCACATTCATACACCAATGGGACACACATCAGAGGCTATGAGGGGTTCAGTGTCTTGTCCAGTGACACTTCAGCATGTGACTACTGGTGGATTCAAACCCCCAACTCTCGCATTGGAGGACGACTGCTCTAACCACTCGGCCACAGCCGCCCCCATTTTTTATGAACAAATATGGCTGCCTTGTGGTTTTGGAGCCATGCATGAGCCATGTCTCTCCTCTGCTGCTGACATGATAAATAAACTCCGACCGTCACCTCCTCCGTCCTCTGCTGCCGTTTTTATGTCCATGCGCTCTGGGCGTCACTCACAGCGCACATGCAACAAAGAGTAAACTCAAGCGAGAGCGACACCTGCCCCCTCTTTCCTCTTTTGTGTTGACAAAATGTTTTGGTTTTATTGATAAGTTTGTCAAAGCACAATTTACAGAAGTAATGTTTAATAAATGTTGGACTCTATTCTTTGCTAACAGAATAAATTCACCTCCTCAGTTAAGCTGCTGTGTTTTGATGATCTGGACGTTTGTCACCCACAGCAGGTGACAAAGAGTAAACTCAAAGCGAGAGGGTTACCTGCTCCTCTTTCCTCTTTCATGTTGACACTTTTTTTTGTTTGTTTTATTGATGAATGTGCTCATTGATCCTGACTTCTGCATTTTGATTAAAAAAAATATATATATCAGCATAAATTGTTTTATTCATTTTTGTTTTGTAGGTCAAAGTGTTTTATAAAACACTCCTGAGTTAAAATGTTGCTGATCAATTTGAATTTATTTGTTGATTATATTAAATTTTTTTTTTCAGTATCAAATGGTCATAAATGTTTACAGTTTAAAAAAAATTTTTTTCAGACAAATTGATGCACTTTAAGTTGTTTCTGTTACAGACTAAAAAAATCAATGTTAATAAAGTTATTCTTTGTTGTAAGTTGATCTATATCAGTGTTTCTCCTACCATTATATAAGCGAGGCGCCCTGCCCTGTCTACCGAACCCCACCCTCAACCACCTGTTGGCACAGACGTAACACCAAACTAGCGGCTTGCAATGCAGGTGTACTAGCTAAAAAGCTAAAGGCAGCATCGTCCTTCATGCTGAACCCTCGCTGAACGCACCCCCGACACTCGAAAACTGTTGGTACGAACAGCGCACGGCTCAGATGTGCTTCTGTCTCTCCCCCGCAGCCCCCCCCAGCCAAAAAACTCAAAACTGTCTGTCTGTTCAGAAAGCGTGCAGCTGAGATATGTCTGTCTCTCTCCTCTCACACACCCTGCTCTAAAACTGTCAGTACGAACAGTCTCTGTGTCCCCAAAACATTGGTTACGTACTGTAACCCCAGATTCTATGAGTATAGGCATAGCCCTTTAAGGCTGTCACTTAGTGGGTTTCATCCCGTCATGTGAAGCATCACACTGAAAAATTTAGTCCACGCCCACCTGCTGATTTAGTCCACGCCCACCTGCTGTGTGGGCCCCACCCGGTCCGTATAAATTACGTTAAGAGCGGGTAATCGGCTCCCAAAAAGCTTTTTCTTCAGCCACTTAGGAGCCAGTGAGGCCCGACGCTTAAAGGGCTACGTCTATACTCATAGAATCTGGGGTTACAGTACGTAACCAACGTTCTATTTCATATAGGCTTCGCCCTTTAAGGCTGTCGCTTAGTGGGTTAAGGGCGAAGCAGATGTAGTCCTCGCCTCACTGGGTCCATTCGAACACTGTATGAAGCGAAAGCTTGCCCACAAAAACATCTTGTCACTCAACTCCCCATGTACGTAATTACACATTGTGTAATTATGTGTACCATGCACAGACGCATGTTGTGTAACTATGCGTTCTGAATGCATGAACGCCCCAGAAACTTTCGACGGGGAAGAAAGATGTTGAGAAGGGGGGCCATGAAACAACTGATTCATGGCTGAACAGTATGAACAGATTAATAATAACAAATGAACTGATTAATCAAATGAACTGATTGGTAACAATAGTCATGAATTGATTAATGACCATAGAACCAAATAACAGTTACAACTTGTGACTGATAATTCTGTTAAAACACTAAGTACAGAATGTGTCATGGAACGGGCCGTCACATCACGTAGATAAAAGTGAATAAATGAGCAGGGTGTTGACCACGCGGCCACTGAAAATATCCTGCATTGTCATACCATTATGCAAAGCAGTCGAAGATGTGATACCTCTGGTCGAGTGTGCCCTGAGGTTGACAGGAGGCTCTAAGATGCTCTGTAGGCTTCAGAAATGGCCTCACACAACCAGTGTGACAGGTGCTGGGTGGATAACGAGCAACCTGCAGATGCATCCCTGTAATGCGCAAACAAATGTTAAGTTTGACGCATTGCAGCTATGCAGCTATGCAACACGTCAACGCCCGCACAGGGCAGAGAAGATGGAAAGATGCTTCTTCTTCTGATTGATGGGGAGGAAGTGGAAAAACCCCTCCAACGATATCGCTCTTAATTTAAAAAGCTCTTGATGTTTTAGGCATAAAAACTAGATTCAGTCTTAGATCAGCTGAGCTGCCATCAGTCTGAGTTCCAAGACACGACGGAGCGACAGAGAGAGCAGATAATCTCTCACCCTCTTAGCGGATGTTATGCCCCTTTTCCATTAGTACCTGTACCGGTACAGCATGGCTCTACTCTACTCGGTACGGTACAGGTTGTGTTTCCATTATGCTTTCAGTACCGGTTCCAGTGGGCGGGGTTCAAATTGACGTCACCACCTCTCACCAGCTGGTGGCGCTGAGACACAGAAACTGTTTTCGGTACAGGTTGAGAATTTGTTATTTTGAAGTTGTGTGTATGTATGTCAGTCAGAGTCAGTTTCTTTATTGTCATTCGCACCTCATGTGGTACATGTGATGGAGCGAAATTATGTACACAAGGTCCCAGTTACATCCAACAATAAAATGTAAAAGAAAAACAGTAATAACATCTAAGATATGAACTAAGAAAAACATCAACTAAATATACACTAAGC